GCTGCAGTCCTCAATCGGAGCAATTGAAGTGACCAAAGTATAGAAAAAGGCACGTCTCAATTGATATAAATGCTCTTTCAATTTTATTCTTCGTGGCGTATTGTCGAGAAGGTGATGGATACGAGATGCGTTTTCAGTGTTTTGTGTTGTGACAGTGTGACAGGAAGTGCATTGGTGTGGACAGACGTGTAGATGGAATTTGATCATGAGTTTTTTTTCTGTGAATATTTACACCCAGAGATCTAGTAAAGTTGCTTCTGCATAAAACATGTTTCTGTATTTCCATTTAGGGGTACATTGTACTGCTCAGTGATTAGTGGTGAGCCAGATTTGGAAGCAGAATGTCAACTGTTATCTCTACAGTTCCTAATTTGAATAAAACTGTATTAAAATTGAACAATAAATTGGGTTCTCCAGCGTGAATTGGTCTCTTATGCGATTATATCGAACATGTAAAGGAGAGAGAAATTTCTTTGGAAATAACTTTGCTTTTGTTGTGAAACATTGCATTTGTTCATGCGTGTTAACTGAGGTCTGATTATCATCCTGCCATGTTCGAAACACGTTCTTGTATTGTCATTAGCACAGAGGAACTTTTAAGGATGAATTAAGACGCGCTCTGATGATGGAGTTAGTGAACATCTTAGAAATGTTGGGTCAGTTGTTACCAGACATACACGGTTATTATCAGAAAAAGCACACCGTCCCAGAAGAATCCATTTCGTAAAAATGTTTTATTCTTAGGACGAAAATATTCCATTTAAGATCTTTTTGAAGATTGCACGTAAGCACACTGTCTTGAGCCATGATCAGAACCTTTGTTAGAGCAATGGTTCCCAAACATTTTCCCTGACGCCATCATTGAAATACAAAATAATATTTCGCGCACCATACAGTGTTTTACGTTAATCTTAATAGTCTGAGGAACAAGGGACATTTTTTGTAGTGTGCGTATATATTACATTTATTTGCTATTAATTTTTTCTTTATTTTTCCGTTCTCTCAAGGAAATTATGCTGTGTTCGTCTACTCTTACCACGAGGCTTTGACTATTAAGTATGACACTTCAGAATAGCTTAATTCTTTTGTCAAGGTAGTGACTACAGTTCTCATTATGTTTGGCCGTTTACGGATTTCTAGTACCTGTATTTATAAGAACTTTAATGATTTGTTCGCAAGAGATTCATAACAAGTGCTCACGCAAATTTCTCGCAGTGAAAGTTCTTCCCCGTTTACGAGTTAATAAGTAAAACCGAAAGTCAGGAAGTTCGATGGATATTTATTCACCCTTTTTTATGCAGGAGAACCGTCTACTGTAGAACTGATTGCGCTGAATATATTCGTATCACTTTCAAAAAATTTAGATTGCTTTATAAGCCACGAATCTATCTTTACACGAGTGCACAATTTACGTCTTGCTACGTCACGTTTTACTACATGAACTGAGACCACAGCAGTTTGTAATAATCAGAGCTTTAACACGTTGGTTATGCATTTATTTGGCCCTGTTTAATTCAAACCGCCAACAATCATGTCGATACCCATAATAGTGCAAAGGGGGGGGGGCAGTTTTATTAAAAATAACACGTCTTGCGATTAAACTCTGAGACTGCGTATCCTTAAGACATCTGGACTGCATAATTGCTGCTAACTTAACGTTTTTAAGGTAAGTAAGAAAACAGACAGTTTGTTCAGTTGGTAGTTCAGTTTTGAAGCATTTTCATAATTTTTATTTGCGCCGCCTTGTTTGGGAACCACTGTGTTCAAGTGGCCTTTAGTCATCTATACTAGTTTATAGAAGGATTGTGAGTTTGGAGAAAATATTTAATATTAATTTATGCTTTTTACAGTTAGGTTGGAATGTAACCAAATTATATCTTAGAGTAATTCTCTTTGTATTATTTTTAACTAAAAAGAATGTGTAAATGGTCAGCTTTTATATGAGCACCTGCGTGTAAAGCAATGTAATAAGTATTGGAATTTTTAAACCACACCTGCAACAATATTGACTGAGCATACCGTAAGGCTCATTTCTTATGCTTGCAGTATAATAGATTGAATAAACCGTATTGCACTAATTGTTATGTCATAGTTTCCTTCGGCATTGTCGCATTATTAATATTAATGTATATTGGCGTCAACAATCCGCTTTCGTCATTGTGGAAAGAGCTGAGCTGTGAATCGCTTGTAGGAGAAGTGTGTTGTAGACGAGATACTTTTGTACTTTTAAAAGTCTTTCACAATAACCAAAGTACTTTTCTTCTGTGAATTACTAAGAAATTCTTGACACTGTCCTTAACTCTCTCCATCTTATTTTGCCGGTGGACATCGAGCTCTCTTCCTCTTGAAGAAACAGTGAGCGAGGTAAGGGTATCAGTTGGTAAAAGGATGAAGAGAGAAGATTAAATTTACAAAATTAATTAAGAAAACTAAACTACAGTCGGATGCCCGGTTACATTTCCTTTATGGAGGAAACAATATTCGTTACGTCATAATTTTCGTCGGCATTGTTGTATTAGTATTGACGTCAACAATCGGAAAGAACAGCTGTTAAAAACCTTTCAGAATAACCCAAGTACTTATCTAATATAAGAATTATTAAGAAATTTGTGATACAGTCCTCCATTTTATTTTATTTTTTGATTAAATTGTTTATTGCCAGTGGACATTTAGGTCTCTTACTTTTGAGAAGAGGGTGGGGTTCCTTTTTATTATTAACTTATCTAAACTTTATTGCCCACGCACACCGTTGCATGGTGAATACCGAGCCATTACTGTCACGCGGTGGCGCGATTTTTAAATGTACATTCGAATTTTGAGCAATTTCTTTCGCACCCTTGCACAGCGTATCAGCAGCTGAAATTTTTTGGACAATCATTACTAGATGGGCTCTGTAGACGAGCAAAATTTCAGGTGATATTTCGACATGACCAACCAGACCATTAGTTAGTCATCTATACTTGTTTATAGAAGGATTGTGAGTTTGGAAAATTGTAGGCAAGGAAGGTTTGTAATGGAGCTGTGTGATGAAAAGGGAATGGAAGTGTTGAGTGGATTGTGGTCCTCTTCAAGTGTTATCATGGAAATTCCCTGGAAAGATAAGGGAAATAAAAAATCTGATAAGTATAACTGGGAATGAGATTGAAACCTATTACTTCCCGAACATAAAACTAACACTGCCACTGAACTGCCCTGGTCATTGCAGCTACAGTAAACACTTTTATACGAAACTTCCTTATTTAATTCGTTAAAATAATTTTCTTTCAGGTTGTAGACCTGCATCTGTTGAACTCAAAAAAAGATCACTAGGAAAGTTCTGAAATTACTCAGTAAAGAAATACAATAATAAATTGTACTCATTTCACTACCTTTGAAAAATACTGCACTAGGAACTTGACCTTGCCACAAATAACATTGGAATATTTCCATGCAAAGAGGTAGGCTTCTGATACTGACATGTTTACTTAACACACCTGTTGCACGAATCCTTTATTTATCTCTGAAGTGAATTTCATGTGTGACATACATTGTTTTTTACGCAGAATCTGTTATCACCTGCTGCTGATATTCTCTTTTTCTGTATACATTTATTTATGTTATAACATTCCAGGAGTCGTGAAATATTGGCTGGCATCAGTGATTACAGGTTTTGTCTATGTTATTATTGGGAGCGATTTCATAATTCTCGAGCTTATCGAGGTTTTATTTTTAGGACTGCCAGTTTTACGACTAATTTATTTTGATGTTGGGGAAAAGTGTTCAGTGTTGAATAAAGATTATGTTTGAGAGCTATGAAGGCTTATTGTTTTCATGATGACAGTAATAATGATATTACAAGCTTCCAACTGTTCTGTGATAAATCATTCCTATATGTACATGCCTGATATTATGTAGCATGCTGCTATTCTTTGATTTTGTAATTACCATTGTTTCTTGATTTCACTCTTCTGGACATTTGTAGTTTCTTCTTGCTTAGCATTCTTGTTTTTCGTCACATAGCATAACGTTTAACATCATTAGTTTTAATGATGCCATTTTCACATAAAGTGTGGAGCAGTGAGATCAGACATTGTCATCAGTGTCTGGTTATTGTCATTAATGCTCAAAACCTGTAGGTGATGTCTTTACTGTCAGTCAGTCTCTGATAACATTGTTGCCATGCATGCTTTTACTCACACTGTTGTCCTCTCCGTACATACGTACCATCAGGCACGTTTGTACTTGTATGATTTGAGGTTTTCACATCGATGAGTATGAAGACAGAAATCGTCACGTTTGTACTTGTTTACAGCCTCTGTTTCCATCATCATGCACCTGCACTATTATGCATGCTTTGCTTTTACTCACAAATTTTGCTTCCCTCCCACACATGCACACAAAATGAGGGTTGTGATTTAAGACCATATTCTTCATGTAAAATGGGACATATTTTGGAATATTCCGTAATTTCTGCATGACGTCCAGAAGTTGTGGCTGATGTCAAGATCAACCAGTTGCATTGGCATTTTTTATTTTAAATAAACTTTTTTTGTTTTAGAATTATAGAATGAGTATAAAATTTACATGCTTTAGCTGCATGTTGTGTTTTTAAGATTACTGAGGGTTGCACAGTGTGTGAAATGTTAAGAAAGGTTTCATATCATACTCAGCTCAATTTATCAAGTTTAACAAAAAGCTTAATAATGTATGATCTATAGCTTTTGCAGTGTCTAAATCCAATGAAGTCTTCCTGTGCAATTTTACGTGAAACCGACATTTCAAAAACGTCTTGGTCTTTTGCAACCATGAGATGTGGCTGATTGCTCAAGAAAACTTTATTGAAAAAGTATAATAGTTTGGAATAATGAGGATGGTAGGGATCTCATGAAAGTGGTATAGGAACTGTGTAATTTTGGAACCACTGATCTTCTGAACTATGATTGCTGCTAACATTGTAAAGATATTGTCAAGAAGTACAGTTTACTAAATTATAGTGTCTGTGTGTATATGTTCCAGTGCAGTAATGCAGCTGTGCATGGACAGATGAAGTGCCATGCGTTGCCGATGCCTGTCCGCATGGAGCAGGATTACACAGCATGTTCCACGACAGCCATGTCTCCACATACATTCCCACCTCTGCAAGGTGGTGATAGTGCTGGCTGTTCTAATTGCCTTGCAATTCCTCCTTACTACTATTTTTGAAGCACGACAAATTGAACCACTCTTCACAGTGAATTTTACATATTCTGGAAGACGTAGTCGTTGGGGTCTAATCTCCCATTCACGTGGCCTGTTGTCTCCATCTCACAACTCATCATTTAATGGAAGCATGCGTGTTTCAGTGGAGGTTGGTTATGCATTTATTTGGCCCTGTTTAATTCAAACCGCCAACAATCATGTCGATACCCATAATAGTGCAAAGGGGGGGGGGCAGTTTTATTAAAAATAACACGTCTTGCGATTAAACTCTGAGACTGCGTATCCTTAAGACATCTGGACTGCATAATTGCTGCTAACTTAACGTTTTTAAGGTAAGTAAGAAAACAGACAGTTTGTTCAGTTGGTAGTTCAGTTTTGAAGCATTTTCATAATTTTTATTTGCGCCGCCTTGTTTGGGAACCACTGTGTTCAAGTGGCCTTTAGTCATCTATACTAGTTTATAGAAGGATTGTGAGTTTGGAGAAAATATTTAATATTAATTTATGCTTTTTACAGTTAGGTTGGAATGTAACCAAATTATATCTTAGAGTAATTCTCTTTGTATTATTTTTAACTAAAAAGAATGTGTAAATGGTCAGCTTTTATATGAGCACCTGCGTGTAAAGCAATGTAATAAGTATTGGAATTTTTAAACCACACCTGCAACAATATTGACTGAGCATACCGTAAGGCTCATTTCTTATGCTTGCAGTATAATAGATTGAATAAACCGTATTGCACTAATTGTTATGTCATAGTTTCCTTCGGCATTGTCGCATTATTAATATTAATGTATATTGGCGTCAACAATCCGCTTTCGTCATTGTGGAAAGAGCTGAGCTGTGAATCGCTTGTAGGAGAAGTGTGTTGTAGACGAGATACTTTTGTACTTTTAAAAGTCTTTCACAATAACCAAAGTACTTTGAATAAACCGTATTGCACTAATTGTTATGTCATAGTTTCCTTCGGCATTGTCGCATTATTAATATTAATGTATATTGGCGTCAACAATCCGCTTTCGTCATTGTGGAAAGAGCTGAGCTGTGAATCGCTTGTAGGAGAAGTGTGTTGTAGACGAGATACTTTTGTACTTTTAAAAGTCTTTCACAATAACCAAAGTACTTTTCTTCTGTGAATTACTAAGAAATTCTTGACACTGTCCTTAACTCTCTCCATCTTATTTTGCCGGTGGACATCGAGCTCTCTTCCTCTTGAAGAAACAGTGAGCGAGGTAAGGGTATCAGTTGGTAAAAGGATGAAGAGAGAAGATTAAATTTACAAAATTAATTAAGAAAACTAAACTACAGTCGGATGCCCGGTTACATTTCCTTTATGGAGGAAACAATATTCGTTACGTCATAATTTTCGTCGGCATTGTTGTATTAGTATTGACGTCAACAATCGGAAAGAACAGCTGTTAAAAACCTTTCAGAATAACCCAAGTACTTATCTAATATAAGAATTATTAAGAAATTTGTGATACAGTCCTCCATTTTATTTTATTTTTTGATTAAATTGTTTATTGCCAGTGGACATTTAGGTCTCTTACTTTTGAGAAGAGGGTGGGGTTCCTTTTTATTATTAACTTATCTAAACTTTATTGCCCACGCACACCGTTGCATGGTGAATACCGAGCCATTACTGTCACGCGGTGGCGCGATTTTTAAATGTACGAGGGTCGCTCATTAAATAATGCCCCACATTTTTTTTCTCAGCCAATAATGAAGATAGAAAAGTGTACTTTTACATGCTTGAGATTTGGCAAAATTTCAGGGGATATTTCGACATGACCAACCAGACCATTAGTTAGTCATCTATACTTGTTTATAGAAGGATTGTGAGTTTGGAAAATTGTAGGCAAGGAAGGTTTGTAATGGAGCTGTGTGATGAAAAGGGAATGGAAGTGTTGAGTGGATTGTGGTCCTCTTCAAGTGTTATCATGGAAATTCCCTGGAAAGATAAGGGAAATAAAAAATCTGATAAGTATAACTGGGAATGAGATTGAAACCTATTACTTCCCGAACATAAAACTAACACTGCCACTGAACTGCCCTGGTCATTGCAGCTACAGTAAACACTTTTATACGAAACTTCCTTATTTAATTCGTTAAAATAATTTTCTTTCAGGTTGTAGACCTGCATCTGTTGAACTCAAAAAAAGATCACTAGGAAAGTTCTGAAATTACTCAGTAAAGAAATACAATAATAAATTGTACTCATTTCACTACCTTTGAAAAATACTGCACTAGGAACTTGACCTTGCCACAAATAACATTGGAATATTTCCATGCAAAGAGGTAGGCTTCTGATACTGACATGTTTACTTAACACACCTGTTGCACGAATCCTTTATTTATCTCTGAAGTGAATTTCATGTGTGACATACATTGTTTTTTACGCAGAATCTGTTATCACCTGCTGCTGATATTCTCTTTTTCTGTATACATTTATTTATGTTATAACATTCCAGGAGTCGTGAAATATTGGCTGGCATCAGTGATTACAGGTTTTGTCTATGTTATTATTGGGAGCGATTTCATAATTCTCGAGCTTATCGAGGTTTTATTTTTAGGACTGCCAGTTTTACGACTAATTTATTTTGATGTTGGGGAAAAGTGTTCAGTGTTGAATAAAGATTATGTTTGAGAGCTATGAAGGCTTATTGTTTTCATGATGACAGTAATAATGATATTACAAGCTTCCAACTGTTCTGTGATAAATCATTCCTATATGTACATGCCTGATATTATGTAGCATGCTGCTATTCTTTGATTTTGTAATTACCATTGTTTCTTGATTTCACTCTTCTGGACATTTGTAGTTTCTTCTTGCTTAGCATTCTTGTTTTTCGTCACATAGCATAACGTTTAACATCATTAGTTTTAATGATGCCATTTTCACATAAAGTGTGGAGCAGTGAGATCAGACATTGTCATCAGTGTCTGGTTATTGTCATTAATGCTCAAAACCTGTAGGTGATGTCTTTACTGTCAGTCAGTCTCTGATAACATTGTTGCCATGCATGCTTTTACTCACACTGTTGTCCTCTCCGTACATACGTACCATCAGGCACGTTTGTACTTGTATGATTTGAGGTTTTCACATCGATGAGTATGAAGACAGAAATCGTCACGTTTGTACTTGTTTACAGCCTCTGTTTCCATCATCATGCACCTGCACTATTATGCATGCTTTGCTTTTACTCACAAATTTTGCTTCCCTCCCACACATGCACACAAAATGAGGGTTGTGATTTAAGACCATATTCTTCATGTAAAATGGGACATATTTTGGAATATTCCGTAATTTCTGCATGACGTCCAGAAGTTGTGGCTGATGTCAAGATCAACCAGTTGCATTGGCATTTTTTATTTTAAATAAACTTTTTTTGTTTTAGAATTATAGAATGAGTATAAAATTTACATGCTTTAGCTGCATGTTGTGTTTTTAAGATTACTGAGGGTTGCACAGTGTGTGAAATGTTAAGAAAGGTTTCATATCATACTCAGCTCAATTTATCAAGTTTAACAAAAAGCTTAATAATGTATGATCTATAGCTTTTGCAGTGTCTAAATCCAATGAAGTCTTCCTGTGCAATTTTACGTGAAACCGACATTTCAAAAACGTCTTGGTCTTTTGCAACCATGAGATGTGGCTGATTGCTCAAGAAAACTTTATTGAAAAAGTATAATAGTTTGGAATAATGAGGATGGTAGGGATCTCATGAAAGTGGTATAGGAACTGTGTAATTTTGGAACCACTGATCTTCTGAACTATGATTGCTGCTAACATTGTAAAGATATTGTCAAGAAGTACAGTTTACTAAATTATAGTGTCTGTGTGTATATGTTCCAGTGCAGTAATGCAGCTGTGCATGGACAGATGAAGTGCCATGCGTTGCCGATGCCTGTCCGCATGGAGCAGGATTACACAGCATGTTCCACGACAGCCATGTCTCCACATACATTCCCACCTCTGCAAGGTGGTGATAGTGCTGGCTGTTCTAATTGCCTTGCAATTCCTCCTTACTACTATTTTTGAAGCACGACAAATTGAACCACTCTTCACAGTGAATTTTACATATTCTGGAAGACGTAGTCGTTGGGGTCTAATCTCCCATTCACGTGGCCTGTTGTCTCCATCTCACAACTCATCATTTAATGGAAGCATGCGTGTTTCAGTGGAGAGAACTCTGTCTCCAGTTGAGAACATTTCTGGTGAAACTAAGAACTTGTCTTTCCTCCACACACATGAGAATGCAGTTCGGAATGCCTCTAGTCTTGTACTCAACATTTCGTTACCATCAGATTTAAACCCAACAACATCACCCAGTTTGACCGTCCCTTTTACAGGGAAATCCCTCTGCCCACCAATCCCTCCAAATCTAAGTAAGTATTATACATAATGAAATTGCTAGGCACTTTATCTGTTGTTATTTACTGGTTATTGGTGTACACAGGCTTGTAATCAGGTTTATTTGTGCATGCATGTTGTTTTTATTGTCACAAGTTTGAGTAACATGCATCAGTGCTTTCTTTTCTCCCCTAGAGAGAAAGTTGTCAGCACTCAGACATGATAATGGAGAGGAAGAAATACCTTTTTCTTCTTTTATGAAAAATAAACCTTTAAAATGTGGAAAAGACAGAAATCCTGATGAAAATGAGGAGCTTAACTTAGGAAAGTTTATAATTTTTGTCCTTCATTATTCCATAATTTAATGGCAGAATTTAATTTTTTTAAGTGTTTAAAGATTGCAGCATAACTTACCATTGCGTATACTCCCTCGTTCCCAAAGCCTTCACATGTGTTGCAGTTTACGTTACTGTGGTTGCTGGGGCTTAATTTGAAACCGAAGGGTTTTTTTTACTATGTCATATCAGGTTTATGCATATCTGTGATCCTTTTTCCACAACACTGCTTTGTTGTTGCATGAAGATCATGTATAATGCACTTTTTGTGTTAAAAGTTCTCATCAGAGGTCATTCAAATCTAGCACTAGTAATGTTGGTGCTGAGATAGAAAGCAGACATGAAGCTTGCTGATGGTGACTGTGTTAATAAGAATGAAGGGGTTTGAGTTGGTGTTTCCACGTTAGAAGTGGATTGTGTCATCCTGTGCCATGCATGCCAAGGCCAGAAAGATATAGACACAGAATTGTCTTTCAGTTCACTGTTCATTATTTTTTACAAAATCAGTAGTTGGTTTGGTTAACATTTTTATGATTTTTTCTAGTCTGATATATACAACACTTATCTGACACTTTAAGGAAAAATAATTGTGTTATCATGATGACTGTCTTCCCAGAATACATCACTGTGAGAACCGAAATATGTTTATTTAGAGTTTTGATATGAGAATACTTTTTTGTTCAGCAGAAATAAAAACAGAAATATGAAATCATATCTTTGGATATTGTGTTATGAATTGTAACTCAAAACAGAGGCATTTGCTACACAATCTAAGACTGACTGCCCAGTTTGTAACCGAAGTTCTGATTGGCTGAGACAAGCATGTTATGAGTGTGTGGTGATTTTTCTATAATTTTATTTAGATAACTATTTGTTAGTGTTGTGTAGGAATTTATTTTGAAATTAAACTCTCTTCATCAGAAATTTAGTCACATTTACTGACCTTGAAAGATTACAATTGAAGGTTAAACATATGCATGGAGATGGCTGTCTTGTGGGTTGTAGCACCATATAGTCCAGTAGAATTTTACGAGCATTTCAGAGGTCCTTGCTGCTTCCATCATCAGGGCAACTGGTGATGGAGGCAATAAGGACCTCTGAAATTTTGATAAACTTTTACCTGACTACACAGTGTTACAACCCAGATGACAGCTGGTCTTTGTTTTAACCTCCATGAGAACCTGAAATCCTAAACATATTTATGTTTTGAATCATGATTTTAATTTAAGATTCTAAATTGTATCACTCTTCTGTAAACTTTAGTTGAAAGATCTGAACTCATATATTTCAGATGGACCAATCAAAGTATTGAAAGATTCTCCATCACTTGAGGAGTTGGAAAAAATGTTCCCTCTTTTGGAACCAGGAGGTCATTATCATCCAGAAGAATGTCAAGCACGGGACAGAGTAGCTATAATAGTACCCTACCGTGATCGAGCTGAGCATCTTAGCACGTTTCTTTTAAACTTGCACCCTCTCCTTCAGCGTCAGCAACTGGATTATGGGATGTTTGTAATAGAACAAGGAGGCAAGTATCTTAATATGTCTTATGAATCATATTCTCATTTTGAATAGTGTCATCAGTATGTTCCCTTTGTGCAAAGAGTGTGTAAGAAGTCTGAAAAGTTATTTTATATGTTGTGGCACACCATTAAAATGACTTGTGGAGTACTTCTGATTTAGTTTTAATTTTCTTAACTCTGATGCCAGAACTTGTGCGGTGATTTAAGAGTGGCATTATGGAATGCTTTATGTTTTACTGTTGCAGGTGATGGCCCATTCAACAGAGCCATGCTCATGAATGTGGGGTTTGTTGAAGCACTGAAGTTGTACAGCTATGATTGTTTTATCTTTCATGATGTGGATCTTCTTCCTGAAGATGATCGAAACCTATACACTTGTCCAGAGCAGCCAAGGCATATGTCAGTAGCTGTGGATGTGCTCAAATACAAGTGAGTTTAACAAAATATCATAGAACATGATTGCTAATATAGTTTCATAAGAAAATAATTGCATCTATAAGATTTTATTGTTATTTTTATCTTCTTTCTGATCACATGTTTATACTTAATTAATTATATTAACTATGAATTGGTGCAGATTATCAAGACTATTTTAGGGCTATCCATTGTTTTTCATGGAGAAACAGAAGAAATATCACACTGTATGTTTGTTATTTCTTATTAATTTTATTTATTTTGAGTGACTGATGCAGTAATAGTTGTAACTTTTGTTGCTAAAATAACTTACTCTTCTTTATGTTTTGTCTTGTACATGTGAGGTTGGGAATTTGAGATAAAATATGCTTCCTTGTTACAGTCCTTTGCCTGGTGTGACACCCCGGTGCCACTTCCTATTCAAAGATTAACTCTCTTATACATTTACTTCCATAACATTTAGATTGAGTTGGCTTCCATTCTCAACCTCACGCTAAGCAGTCATTTCCTTTTGAACTGCCCTGAGTTTTCAAAATGTGCTTGCTGTTATGTATCCACGTATGTTGCCATCAGAGAAGTGAAGCACGAAAGGACAGAATTATATATTTATGAATATAGTTACAAGTCAGTACCTATGCATAAGCACAGTGTCATGAAGATAGTACTGTATGTAAATTTAATTGACTGTTGGTAAATTAAAAATTTTGGTGTGCTTAGTCACATCACAGATTCTGATTATTAAGTAGATTGTAAATGTACTTTAATTGCACTTAAGTATATGATACATAATTAGTGCTATATTTATGTAGTTATTGAAATTATTGACTTTTTTAAATATATTTTGAAAATGTGGTACATGGAACCCTTAGACCTTCAGTTAATGAACTTCATAATGCATTAATCCATTTTCTAATACATGTGTATTATTTTCTTACAACAGACTTCCATATCAAGCTATTTTTGGTGGTGTGTCAGCCATGACAAAAACTCAGTTCCAAAAAGTGAATGGGTTCAGCAATTTGTTCTGGGGTTGGGGTGGTGAGGATGATGACATGTCCAACAGGGTAAGGCACCATGGCTACCACATCTCCCGTTACCCTGCGAACATTGCTCGCTACAAGATGCTTGCCCATCGTAAACAGCACGCGAACCCTAAGCGGTATGAGTTCCTCAATACAGGAAGAAAGAGATTCAAGACAGATGGCCTTAGCAACTTACAGTATGACAGGAAGGAGCTGAATCTAGGTAAACTCTACACTAGAGTTCTTGTTGAACTTGCCACTCCCAGCTGATGGAGTGCTTTAGCCAGATTCTGGCATGGTAAGTGAGCATGGTATTAATGGAATGTGCTTGCCTGTTTGAGCCACAGAAATTATGTGATAATGAAGTTTAAGGTTGAAGTTTGAGGTGATGGTGTGTTATAATAAGTAAAACTGCGTTTTTAGACTTTATCTAAATATATAATTGTAAAGTTATCATCCAGAAATTGTATTCTGTTTGTCTTCAGGCAAAATGGGGGAAGATGATAGGAAACGTATCTGTTGGGTCCACGGATTAAGGAGGACCTATACCTCCAAGTCTCAAACTAGCTCAACCAGAGGACCCAACAGATTGGTTTTCTGTCATCTCCCCCTCCCAGTTTCATTAAGAGGGAAGCAGCGTTCAGCTTCCGAAACACTGCAGTTTTGTAATCTTATATTTAGATAATAAACAAAGTCCATAAACAAAATTGAACTTATTATAAGTTAAATAAATTCACCATTTTTCTCTCGGTAGCATTTTTGAGTGGCAAGGATATTATGTTCTGTAGGTTATTAATACTTGATGCTACTGTATGTCCCAGACTCTTTAAACAATGATTATGATGCACTATGGGAAGTAGTCCTGCAGAGTTTTGAAACCTTACAGTTTATACTGATTGTGATAAAGTTGATTACACATTACAGTGTTGGTGTAAGTGCAGTTATAGCCAAATGACACATTTATAAGTGTTAAACAATAGTGTACACATTTGGAAACTGACTAAAGTATTAGTTCACTTTTTTGAGAGCTTGATATGTAGAAATGTTATCAAGTGTTGTAAAAGTGGGTGTTACAGTTTTATTTAATGCCAATTAAATTCTAGTCCTTAAATTTGGATTAAGATATGTGGTCTTTTTATGCTTTCTCAGTGCAGTACTCTCACAGTCTGTATGATTTTTTTATTATTTTTGCTTAAGTGTGAAGAGTATTGCACTCTGAAATAATGTAGTCACTTTATAAATAAAAAGTTCTGTTTCTGCTGTGTAATAGCAGACTTGTAATTTGACAATGACAACAGCTGTGCTGTACAGTCTAGAAATGAGTATTCTTTTCTGTGTTCATATTTACTTTATACTTTGAGAGTTGGTTTTACTCAGTATTTTGGCAAAGTGTGGATTTATGTAACACAAAATTGACTTCCAGTGAGGTTACATGTTCAATTCTAAACTAGTGAGACAGTTTTTTGTTTTTTGTTTTCTTTTTCTTTCTTTCTTTCTTAGGATATATTTATCTTATTCTACATCAAATGTGAAAAGTTGGCTGTTTTTAAAATGTCAAAATGACTTGCTCTGATTGTTTGCTCTTGAGTTCAAGAACATCATGAACATGTTTTTGTCATAGCTATGGACCCATATGTCAATTGCAGAATCTTGTCTTGACTTCCTATGACCAGAGACACAGCTGCAACACATTGAGAGACTGTGGAATGCATGAATACCAAGTTGAATTGTTTTAGAGCATTTGTGATGTATCTTGTGCTTTTGCACAAATTATACTCTAGTTACGGTGAAGGGGATGATTTTAAGTGGTTCTTTTTAAATAAAATATGTGGTATTATAGTGTCTCCTTTACTAGGAAGTTGAATACTGACAAGCTTCAGTTAAAATTCATTTATAGACTGATGTTAGAATATTCAGTATTGTTCCCATGCCTTGCAGTTGGTGGGACTGTCTTGTGAATTCAAGTTGTGCACATATGGAAGGGGATGAGCAATCATTATACTGTGAAGATTGCTTATCCTTTTTCTTAACTACATTTTATTAGCGTATTAGAATTAGATTGTATTACAGTTGTTATAGTTTTATGTTACCCAAATTTGAACTGCAGCTTCATTCCAGCTAATGGTGGTTTTCTCTTGAACAGTAGACTGATTTGATTTCAGATTGTGGCCTTCTGGGTTGATATGGTGTAATCTTGAAAATGGTTTTGGTGTTCTGGAGGAATACGCTGCCTCCGCCTTCAGAGCAGTTAATATCATGTCTACTCAGATGATAGTGGCAGTATGCTGCTACACAGGATTGATAATAACCGTTAGACTACATGGTGTCACAGTCCAGAAGACCATAATCTGAACTCTTTCAGCCATGAATATCCCAAATCTTTCACAAGCGATCTCTCATGAATGACAGTGCTTCTTGCCCCATTGTAAGATAAGACTCATGTATGTTAGAACAGCATCTCATATAATCTTTGTAGGCATCTGTTGGCAGTTACGGGTTATGATCATACATTTAAAAATGCAGAATTATCATTTAATGATGCAAATTGTGGCAAGGAACTTGTTGCAGAAAAGTGTATCATATTACTTTAATTTGTTTTCAGACATCAGAATTTCTTATACTGTCCCAGATTATCAGCCATTTGTATCTACATTTAATGTTTATCACTTTAAGGATATCCTTCCTTTACTTGGTATTTTGTTAATATGTGCCCAGCTCGCTTATTTTTGTAAATAAAGATTCTTCATTTAAGGTTTTACTTTGTGTTTGTTTTGTTCCTGATACTGACATGAAGTGGGAACTTACCTGTGTGTGGAACAGAATAAAATACAATATTCATGGATACAGATTTGTTAAAACTCCTGATCTATATGATAATTTCTAACAGAGGCTTCCATCAAAAAACGATTTTTCCATTTATGTATGTCTTTATGTCATCATTTGTTTGGAATAGAAATATGTCCCCTTTGTAGATGACTGTCCAATGGATCTTGTTTTGAGCTTGCACATGCATCATAGGTTGTAATTTGTTTTTCCTGGTCTTATGCCTGTTTTTTAATATTGGTTTGTGAGGTATATGAGGAAGTGGGATTTTTTAACTAACAAAGTGTCTGTAACCTTCTCAAAAAGAACTCTGATGCATGGATTTAGTCAGTATTTTTGTGAGCAATACATTTTAAAGTGTACATGTATCAGTGGTATGTCTTTCAACTGTAGTAACATGAATCATGATTCCAGAGCATCAGTGGTGTTTGTTGTTATGTGATTAAACTCTGAAAGACATACCAGTCTTGATTATGAATAAAATGGAGTCCCCATATAAGATTCCTTAATTTCTTTAGGATCCTTCCTAATTTAGTATTATATATCTATGGTGTCAGCCTAATTCTGTGTGTTGCATTTCCTAAGATCATTGCCAACTAAAAAAACTTTAAAATTTAAATTTCTCTGTGAACTAAAGTTACTGTATTTTTATAGTACTAGAACTTAAGGTATAAATCATTAACATGATGTTTAATATTGTATAACTGAGGTTAGTATGTTTGATTTATTTTTTTAGAAAAAATTTCACACATTAAATTTGATTTATAAATGCTGTATGTTTACAGTATTCCTTCCAAGATATTTTATTTTCTTGTTAAAAATATTAAAAACCTATTGAATTTGTTACAGGAAATATTTGCTTCATCTGAATTCCAGAAGCATTGTACAAGAATATATAACTGAATTAATAGATTCCTGCATTTGTACCTTGCTTTTCAGAAGCGAATTTGTTGATATTACTTACTTTGATATTACACTTTACTTTAATGTCATGGAACTGACTTATTTAGAAAGAAATCTGATGTCTGAAGAATGAAGAATGAAATAATTTCAGAATTGTATTTCACAGAATGTAAAAACATATGTAATAACTTAATCCATTGGCATACATTGTTTATTGTGGGATGTCCCTGGTTTGGGTGATGTACAGGTTGAAATTACATCTGATGAGAAACTGGAGTAGTATTAATATTTGAGAGCATATATAGTAGACATTTTTTTATTATTCAGAGACTTATTTTCAAATATGAATTAATTTTGTGTAGATGAAATGAAATATTATGCCATGGGGTTAGGGTATCACATTTGTATTGCATTCCAACATTTTAGTGGCTAAGTGATCTAACTCAGTGTATATGTCAGTAATACTACAGTGTCAGTAAGTTGGTATGTTACTATCATTTGCAAATTGAGTGTTTATAAACTTTTTCATCAGCAGGGCAAGAGCATTCAAAATTGAATGAAGTTGCATTTTGCTATAATCATTCTTTTAAATATCCCTGTTTTTCTTACCACTGGTAGTTGTGAGACCAACATACAGGAGTGTGGGTATTAGAATTGTGGAATATTTATGTCATAAAATGTTTTGGTTCATTCAGTAAAGTTTGTGTGTGTGTGTGTTGAGGGGGTCCCCCTCCTCTCTTCCACCCTAACAGACACACATTTTAAGGATGTGTTGCATCATAATTGTTATCTCAGATTGTTTGTTTACTTCAAAACTGAATGATTGTAGTATGCACCTTAAAGTATTTCTTTTGTTTGTTGATAGGAACTGATGTGTATGTTAATTTTCTTAAATATTTATATTTTTTATTTTTTTCCCCCCCTCTGTGTGTTTGAATGCAAGTATGTCTTATGCAAAAGCACAACTTTCGTTGTGGATGAGCATTTGTGGTATTAAAAAATGTTATTGAAAAAGACACTAAAAATGTATGCAGAAATTATCATACATGTATGGTGATTTGATAAAATATACGATGTGGAAGGCAAAGACCAGAATTTGATGGAATCAGGATCCAGCTTAAACTCTGTGACATGGAGAGGTTCCTGAATTCATGTTTTCACAATTTGATTTCTTAAATGCTTGAAATGAATTAGTGTAATTCCTTCTGTTGTAATATGTTATGTATTTGTGATTAGATCTCTTACTCTACTCTGTGATGGTTGTGAAAGATTGATTTATATTTAAGAAATTAAAAGGCATGAAATAATATGTTACCAGTGTCTTTAGTTGGTAATACTCAATATTAATGAGAGGGAACTGTGATTTTCAAAATGAGGTGGTATGTAAGAATGTGAACACAATATAAGATTTACAGACATCATCAGAATGTATTATGGCTTTCATTACCACAAAAGAAAATGTCTATAGCAACATATATAGATATATGACTGATATGAAAATGGTAATAATTATTCTATTACATAAACATACATTTTCATTATTTGATGTATGTCTTTCAGTCAAATACTTTTCCTTCATTATATTCTCCCAAGAATATTATTTTTTCATTTATTCTTACTTTCATCTTAAAATCACAACTTGCTCTAGGAAAGGTTTGGAGTGGATTTTTTTATTATTGTATACAATACCTAATATCCTGCATACCACAAAGTCAGAATTGAACTTGAAAAGAATATGTGAAGTGCTGTGTATTGATTTTTGTCAGCATTTGCCACAGGACCCAAAAACATAGAAGCAAAATCTCTCTTATGCTCTGTAAGCAAATAACCCTAACTAAACTTTAAGCAAAATGCAGGGAAGATTTGTGTCATATGGTAACTGTTAATTGTTGCTTTTCATATAATGTTTTATGCAGTATATTGGACATATTACTAAGGGAATTACTCTGCTTGTAATTGACTTTTACAGTTTGTCTGTTTGTAACTGCGTTGGGAGGGATTTGGGATGCTTTTGGGGTTATAAAGTGCATCTTTTAAATTAAGAGGAGAATTGTATGACTTGTATTGGTGGTGTTGAACAAGTTGTTTCTCACCCACCTGTTCACAGTTACTCATATTTTTTTATTATTATACTGACAGATTTTATGTGTTACCCTAATGTAAGAAGGGTGTTTTTTTAAAGTAGAGAAATATAAATGCGAAACAATCACATATAAAAGCAATAGCATTTAAAATTATAAAGAATAATTAATGTGTTATAAAAGTAAAGGTGATATTTCCATTTCAGCTGAAGAGTGGAGTGTCCCTCATGCCATAATGGGCATAGTAAGGCTTTAGTGTATTTTATTTTTGGTTTGGGAGAACAGCAGCTTTTGGAACATACCTTATGACCTAGTAGTACATGCAGAAAGCATGATGGATCCAGAGTTTCTGAAGAAACAAATCTAAGGAGATATAGAACTCTGTGAACCTGCCTTTATTTTTGAGGTAAGCAACTTCATCTTGCCCTTTTCTTCACTTTGGATCAATCTGTAGAATTTGAAATATAGAATTAATAGAGTACATTTTGTACAAAATACTTGAGGAAAGTTTAACCTTTCCTGTATGTTTAAATTATGTTAATTGAGAAATACAAGTGCTTCCTCATCACAGTATGGGCTCCCAGAAATTTGATGGAAAGAAAATCCAAACATTTTATTTCCATGACCTTACCCATTTTTAATGAAGAGATGATTGTGGACTTCGAAGAAGCCTCTGCTTATAAAGTGTTTTTAAGCTGTCATGTAATTATGTATCTACAAAGTACATTTACAAATGCTGAAAGTATGGCATAATTATACTGTACATTAGGCCTTTATGATCTGTCATCATTTGGTTCCTTTGAAGTGCAACAGATATGGAGCTATATGCTTACATGTTATTATGATAACTCATTCCAGTTAAGCACCAAACTCATTTTTCAGGCAAGTAAACACCAATGAAGACTAACCTTAAGGTTGTAAAAAGTCAGTCTTCTGCTTTCATGGATGGAATTAACATTATTATTATAGCTTGATAATGAGGAATCCAAATTGGTAATTATATGTCCATTTTCACCAGTGAAGATGTTGGATTGTGACCTAGGTTGTGATGTCATGTAATCTTATAGGTGTGTACAAGTGTTTCACAGGAAAGTACCATTTATATTTTCAGGGTTGCTATGATGTTGCAGATATAGAATCTTTTTAAGTTGAATATACTGTTACATCAAGCTCCAATACTAATTGGATCTTACCATTCTAAAATCTCAAGCTTTCATACAAATGTTTCATATTTCACAAGGTAATTTGGCCATGCATGTTTTTGGATTCCCAAAGTATTAGTGGTCCCCCAATATTGTCAGGGTGATTAAGTCGAGAAGAATGAGATGGGCGGGTCATGTAGCGCACATGGATGGGACAAGAGGTGTGCACCGGGTATTGGACGGGAAGCCTAAGGGGAAGAGACTGCTGGGGAGACCTAGATGTAGATGGGAGGATAATGTCAGGCGGGATCTATGGGAGATAGGAGTTGAAGGAGACTGTATTTTGTTGGCCCAGGACAGGGTCCGGTGAAGGGCTTTGGTTAATTCAGTGATGAACCTTCAGTTTCGGTAAGCCATCTAGTTAGTTAGTTAAAGTATTAGTGGAACCCCTAGCCCTTTTTCGTCTCATGCCATTAATAGAATGGAATGGTAGATATGTTTGTGATTTATCTCTATACCAGATTCGACATGCCAAGTTCCAGTGGCGCATTAGTTGTTGCTGTCAAGCAAAAAGCAAAAGACAGTTTTGCAAGGGCTCTTTCTCATACATTTATATTTAAAAGACCTTAACAGAAGTTGCACTTTTGAGATATTACCGTACATCATTTTAGGACCATAAATTAAGTGTGTTGGTGGCACCCTTGCCTCATAAAAGTTATATGTTGTTATTTATTTGTTTTAATTAATGATGCTGTCAGAAGCTCAGAATATATATCATTGGGTGAATAATGAATTGGGGGAGGAAGCTGTCATGGGATGTCTTGAGGTATGATCCTTGAATTTACCTGGAATAACTGAGGAATAACATGAAAAAGTGTCAGGATAGCAGGTCAGTGAGCCGACATTTATACCCAGGACTTCCAAAATAAACAGGAGTGGTAACCCATGACGTTTGGTACATGTTAATATTACTGATTGTTAGAAATAATAAAGATGGCGTCCAATGACATAACGTTCATGTCAGATTTCATGAAACTTTGTCTCGCTTAAAAGTTGAAGGGGGCGCACATGGATCACAGACAGTATGTTGATCCCAGAAGCCTAGTTTACCCTGGCTCTTTAAATCCATGTGATATATGTCCCACCTGTTTCCACAATCAATTCATTTTGTATTTATAATTCGTATGATTCTCGCTATAAACAGAATATTTCTTTTAACTGCATTGACCAGTTGATTCTTATCATGGTGTAGTGTTGTATTTTCTTTGTTGTATGGACTGAATTATTTAATATTATGTAGACGAGCTACAAAAGTTGCGAAAGGAAAGTAGGCTGAAAAGAAAAGACCTGTGGCATAATACGACACAAAACCATGTCAAAATCCTGATTTTTGCTCAGATATCATATTATCCAATGAATGGGAACGGGACATGAAGCGGCTGAAGTGTGAAGTTGACCACTCACTTCCATCAAATAGCAGGTTATGAATGTGTGGAGCTTAGCCACCACTCCCCCAATTTAATGACAACTTTTACCGTTTTCCGTCAATTATAAAAAAAAACATAGAAAATTGGAACTGTCAGTATTGAGTTTTCCAATTTTCTGTGGTCATAGATGTTCATAAAATAAAATATACTTTGATAGCGAACTAAACATTTTACGTTCTTCAGGGAACTTTTTACTCGGTGCCCTACGTGAGCGATTAAATGCGAGCGGTTCGAGTTGCTTGAGTGAAGCGAAAATATTAAAAATATCAGAAGTCCTTGCTGCCTCCATCATCAGGGTAAACTTCTACCAGACTACACGGCGCAACAACCCAGAAAACAGCAATCTTCGAGGAGAATAGAATTTACTGACTAGCTGTAAATCTGTCAGTTTCTCGAGAATGATTATACTCCATGTTAGTTTATTAATTAGTGATTTTTCTCTGCCGTAGCGTGTTTCCCTTCATCTTCTCTGCAACTGGAAATGTATCTGATGCAAGCCTGAGTTTAAAAATAACATTTCAGGGAACGGTGGAGTTGGATTCATTTCAGTGAAGCCTGCGACTTGCTGGAGCACTTAACCGTAGTATTTAATAGTAAGACGTCGTGTTTTAAGTACCATTAACAGCCGTGTTGTGTCATGTTTTCCATATTAATAACATGCTAAAAAGATATTGTATGAATACGTTCTTCAGAGGTAGAGCAGTGTACTGGAACATAGTCATGAGTGACTGATGTATATGTCTTTGGTTCCTATAGTAAATGGGTTGTCGTAATCAGAATTGGCATTAGGGCCAGAATTAGTAGCGATACATGTATTCTTCCCGAAATATAGCAAACATAAAAGTTTCTTTAGAATTTATTTGTAAATTGGCCAGTTCAGTCCGTATTTTATTGTAGTGTGTGCGAATGCACCTTTAAATTCAGTATTTATGTACGATGTCGTTCGTTGTGAACTCAAGAGTTGACGTAATAACTGTAAGATGTGCTGATTTCATTCGGAATTAAAGACGTCCTTATTATATTTTGTTGCATGTTGTGACATCTGAAGTGACAGGATCCTGGGCTACGTTTTGGGTATATTGGCGTTTCAGACGCGTGCGCGGTGTTACAGTTGGGGGTGGGAGGACAGAATAGGGCGAAATAGTATTTGGTTGGTCTCGTTCTTAGAACACCGTGTGATATCAGAAGTGTCTTCTCGCTGAGTTGCTTCTTGTGACTGAAAGTACGAAGTATGGATGGGAAACCTCTGACTCCCGAGAAAGGAACATCAGTGCATCGCACACGATGCTTCTTCCGTAAGTCTGATGCCTGTACTGCAATTTGTGATTATTGTGACCATTTCACAAAAGTTGGAACTTTAATTGTTTAACATAGACACCCTAACCTCATATATTTATAATTTTCCTAACCATTTATGAGATAATACTCCGTTTGCTTTTTAGAACTTTATGAAATGTACATTCGTTATTACGTAAGAAACGATTTTCTTATATGTAAAACTTTAAAATTATCTACAGAATTAATTCCGCTATGTTTAAAATTACAAGTCATTACATATTCTCTTCTTGCAAGTGAATTGAATATTGAATCATTGTTGCATATCTGTTTATAAAAGGGCATCTTTAGCATGTGTTACGGTTACTTTCGATCAATTTACGGAAAGTCTCGTAGCGTTACATTGAAAATTGTATTTTCTTTCTCGTTTAATTTCGTGACCTCTAAATCACCTTGGCTGCAGCACGCGCCCAGCTTCCGAGCACTGACCCTACTTCCAAGACTAAATTATCTGAGTGAAACGTGTAATGTATCATCAATAAACTTTGGAATTTCGCAGATGAGATTTAATAGGTTGGAATTCGTTCTTTTCCGTAATTACTTAAATACGTTTTGTGTCGTAGCGTTGAATGTGGCGCGTGTGTGTGTAGCAGGGATGTGTCAAGTCCGGATTGTGAGCCGGATATGACCAACAAGAAACGTGCATTAGCCGATCGCACTGATTGAGTGAATCTAATACTATAAAAGTATTTATCCTCACAGCAGTGTTTTTAAACGGTGATACCTTGGTGTACATAAACACGAACTGTTTATTGTTAAGAAAGATGTGCTTGTTAAGATTTGAGGTTTTCACAGACGTGAGTATGAAGATTTCTGTCTTCTGGGTTGTTGCGCTGTGTAGTCTGGTCGATGTTTACCAACGTTTCAGAGGTCATACTGCCTCCGACATCAGGACGATGTTCAAGTGCTTGTTAATTATTACATCACAGTTTAGAATAGGTCGTATTTAATCGTGAAAGAACGCCTGCAGAAGATTAAAAATATCACTCTGGTGTGTTAAACTTAGACATTGAAATCACTTTTAAGGAAAGATACATATTCGAAAATAGTTATTTCACCTGACATTAAGAGAATCGAAATCACTGTGTCCCTTCTATAATAATGCAAATCTACGTTAAACTACACATGAGCCGGGATAGCTCAGTCAGTATAGTGACTAGCTACGGGCTGGACGACCGGTGTTCGATCCCCGTCGGGGGCAGAGGATTTTTCCTCTAGCCTCTGCGTCCAGACCGGCTCTGGGGCCCACCCAGCCTCCTCTACAATGGGTACCGGGGTTCTTTCCCGGGGGTAAATCCGGCTGGGGCGTGATGCTGACCACTCACCCCCATCTAGTGCCGAGGTCAAGGAAGAGAGGAGCTATACCTCCACTCACCCCAAACGCCTACATGGCGTATATGGGACAGCTTTACTTTACTTTACGTTAAACTACATGCGATTTTCATTATTAGCCTTTAGGATAGGTCGGCGTTAATGTGTATGACGGCACCTACCAACCATATTTTATGAAGATGGTTTCAATGAAGGTGGGTGGTGCTTGATTGACGCTAGAAGTAACTGAATACCTTATACACGAACTCTGAAGCTTATTAGGTGCGTGCCAGGTGCGCAGAAGTGTCCAAAAGTCGATGCCGTAGTTCGTATGGGATCACTTTGGATACTCTGCCCGATTATGTTATCTGCAAACGATCCATCAAATGTTGTTTACTATTTTGTCGTTTACGCTTGTAAATGTTTATTTTCTATTTTAGTCACTTCTTCTTCGTGAATTTGAGATCATCTAACTCGGAAGTTTCATCATTAGTCTGCCCTGCTGTTTCCCCTCTTTCTATATGCGCGTTTTGTTATGGTGAGGTGCTTTTAAAAATTAAGTTGAAGTACCTACCCTCTTTCCTTCAAGTTTCGCACTTTTGTGTACTCCATTGTATGAAATCACATTGCCGCTCGTTTTAAACAGAATTTTTTGAGGGGGGGGGGGGTGTTGCGGTTGCGTGGTTAACTTTCCCCGCTTCCTGCCGGAATCCAGCAATCCTGGCTTGCTTTTTCCTCAGTCCCTTCAGGGATCATGACGAGTTCCTTTCGTATCCTTTTTAATTTATCATTCACAATTCATTCTACTATTTGACACAATGTAAACTTACGGTTTTTAACGCGCCGTTAAATAAATCTGGTTTCAGTAAATTGTATTGTATTGGCCGGTTTAGAACACTCATCTGATCACGTTTCGACAGAAATAATTCTCAGAAACACTTGCGTCAGCTGTAGTAATGAATGCGCTGGTAGACGTGCCTTGAAAGCCCACATACCTGTTGGCCGTCTGCTCATCATCGCAGTCCTACAACCTACATAATAGACAGGCACGTTAAATCTACATTCCGCGGGGCATTAAATAATTTCATTTAAAAGACAAAAGAAGGACGATGTTTGTCAGCCATTAACCTCTGTTGTTCAATTTTCAGTAAATTTACTAACATGAAGTTATGTTTTTCGTTCTTTCTGCGAAAGTAAAAATTGTGTTTTTGGGTTCGCGCTGTCGCGTAGTGAAAATCTAAGTTTGGGTTGTTTCTGTTGCATTTGAACGCATGACCACCAAAGAAGCCTGTAGTTACGAGAGTAATCTGGAATTGAATAGATGACAGTGTTTTTCGTACTTGTAACAATATTGACGTGATATGTGAGCAAACATACAGCCGCTGTTAACAGAGATAAATGCGGCTAGATATGGTAAAATTGTTTCGGTTGAGGGATAGAACTGCACTGAAACCAAGAACTTATAACGCGCTACTACGCGTCGGTTCGGTTATTCATACCAAGAAAGTGCGATTCTCTGAAAGTGTGTGTGCACTCATGCACGTTTTATTTGTCGTTATTCCTGAAAAACGACGTGACGCAACAGTAGGCGTCTATTAACAAGCTGTTACATTACAAGGCGCGGTGCCACAGGATTAGGTATAGAGAGTTGGTTGCTGCTCGCTCAGTCACTGCTAACAGTGGAGGATGGTTGGTCAGGGAGAACGTCTGGTGGTTCAGCCAGGACAGAACCACATGTACGTACCAGTCAGGGACTCGGGTTCAGGTTCCAGACGACTGTCAGGTAGGTAATGCCACTTTTGTTTTGGCACGTTGATAAACAAACACAAGACAGGGGGCTGGCGCAGAAGTGTAAATTGTCAAATGTAAGGAATGTTGTAATTTTTCTATTTATACGTACCAGTTCTTAATTCGCTTTTGTTACATCAGATGTAGCGAACAGCGCCCTAACGTTTTTGGCTGTATGATCCACTTTACCGAAAACTGCGGTCGGCGAAGACCAACTGGTACGGCAGCCAACTGAGCTGAGTGATGTTGGGAACTTTAAAATCTTTAAGATGACTGTCTTCTGGGATGTAACACCGTAGAAACCTCACATTCTACTTAAAATCTTGAGTTTTTGATAGAAAGTAATGCAGGCCAACGTTTTGGAAGTTGAAAGAACTTTTTTTATAACCGATAATCTTACAAACTGCAGCACGTTGCATTTATTTCCTGTAACTTTGAGACCTGCCTGTGGGCAGTGGCCTACATGTGTAAACCATTATCTTACAACAAGGTCGTTTGCGTATTTCTAGTGGGTTTGGCCGTTATCTGATTATGATCGTCTACTTTCGGTCCATTTCAACCAATCAATTTACTTCAACGGGTGGAACACAACTGTACTGAAGTCTTTTTATCGAATCATTCTGTTATTGTTCGTGGTATGTTGTATATGTATGAATGTATGTCTGTTTATAATAGGCCTAGTGTTTGCTTTTCATTTGGTGTATACAACAATACGAACTTAGTCACACATGTTAAATTATTGGGTGAACAGCGACATGATTTCAAAATTAATCCGTCATAATCAGCCTGACAGTATTTTCCTGTTGAATTAAATCATGGTTATGCCAAACTGTAAGGTAACACTAAAAAAATATACCCATTAAAGGAACTACACGTGTTATATTTAACAGCCATTTCTATAAAACAGACCAAAATCAAAATGATGTCATGCATTTTATTGGTGTAGGTCGTGGATAGTAATGTGTTCTTAACGTGGATCAAGACGTGGATAACTTAAGTCTCTTCCTTCCATTTATTATTGTTATTACAAAATACTAATTTCCGTAAATTTTATAAACTATAATATTGTCTATTAGATATGTTTTCTGCCTTTTAAAGTTTGTTGCAAAAAAGGTAATGTTAATGTCTTAATTACAATTCCGAATTCGTCTTATGTTCTTACATTACCAACTCGACATGTGTTCGAAACAGACGTGTTCGAATTTAATTAGATAAATATATCGTACTTTATTTAATAGGCTACGATAAGTGCGAAGAAATTTTCGTAAACGTTTTTCCTTGATTCATATCACCCGTGCAGATAAGGTGTCCTTATGACATTTAAGTAAAATAAACATTTGCTATCTGTACCCAAATTCCAACCTTTCGTGACAGTTCTAGGCGTATCAGAATCCAGTAAATGCGCTGTTCCAATGACGGACGACGAAAATGGTATGCAGGCCTGTGTAATCTATAGTGTGATACACGTGGCAAAGGGAGCGATTGTAAGATGATTAGGATCAGTGAGTCTGAGGGTGGAAGTAGAAAGGTAAGTGGTCATGACCAAATTTCAAATAATGTCCCTTATTTGGAGGGCAAAGTAATATAAGAAATCACTTGGGTTAGTCGGTTTTCGAGCGAGAATCGAACCGAGTTCTTCCGAACTTAGTCACTCATTGTCTTCGCACACAGTGGCATGTATTATAGTTTCATTTTTAAGTGTTTTTTATATAAAATCGGTTTGTAATAAATCTTATAACATGATTAAAATTGTTACACAATCATCATTCTAAATGAGATGTCGCAGATTACCTTACAGTATGCAGTCGATCTGGAGAACGAATATCCTGGCAGAATTTCGTTTTCTTTCCCTGTTCCACCAGGTAAATGCCGGGAGACTACCATAAATTAGGCCTCGACCGCTTCCTTACACTACCTACCGTGTCATTTATTAGTTATCTGATCATTTAACGCATTATACTCTAAACTAGGGGTCGGCAAACTACAGCCCGCGGGCCAAATCCGGCCCGCCGCCTCTTTTTGTACGGCCCGCGAGCTAAGAACGGATTTTACATATTTAAATTCTTTGAAATTTCTAACTGCTTTGTGCATTTCCCATGCTGTCAAAAATTAAAAGAAGTGAAATCTCCATTCCCGCACAAATTTGCAGTGGATATATTTTCTGAACTCAAACTACAGTTCCAGCAGAGTTTTTCGGATCTTGATGCAAATGTAGAAGACATTTCCATATTTCAAAATCCATTTGACCGTACAATTGAGAAGCTTCCACCTAACCTTCAATTGGAAGTGATTAATCTGCAGTGTGATGATATGCTAAAAAGCAAATTTCAAGAGAAGAATCTAACAGAATTCTATAAATGTCTTCCAAGCGATGAATACGGTCAATTAAGATCATATGTTCGGGGATTTATATCTGTATTTGGCAGCGCCTATCTGTGTGAAAAGACATTTTCAAAGATGAAATATGTAAAATCTCAGTACAGGTCAGCATTAACGGATGAACATTTACAGCCAATTTTGATGATAGGGAGTACTGAATTTAAACCTCAGTTTGGTGAAATGATATCTCATAACAGGCAATTCCATTCTTCTCATTAGTAGAGCTGTATTTCAAATGTAGTCTACTTATTATTATGACGTTACATTTTGTTCAATAAATTTGTTAAAACTTGGGTTTTTCTTGTTACATAAGTAGGCTTACCTATATAAATATCCTCGAGTTTGTCTCTTTGCCCGCAGAGCCTAAAATATTTACTATTTGGCCCTTTAGAAAAAATGTTTGCCGACCCCTGCTCTAAACTGTCGACAGCATTGCTAAATAAACCACAAATAAATGAGTTTAGTTTATATTACTAAAAGGGCACTTAATCAGTGTCGTTTTTATTTTAAAAATATCCGTTCCGTAGCTCAGTCGGTTGGCTGGCTTGCTTTCTTTACACTCTGGAAACTTCCTTTGAAGTTCGTGGTGGACGATGTCGAACTGGAGTGGGTTTCCCTCAGAGTTCTTCGGTTTTCCCCTGCGTCTATCACTGCTTCACGAGATGTGTGATAGCTCTGACGTAGCAACACGTATCTTGCCATTGGTCTCAAGTTCCTAGCTTAATTTTCTGACTACGCATTTGACTTGTATCGGTATATAGGTAGCTCAGTTTTATAGTAATTTCCAAAAGATAAGCGACTCCGCCATATGTCTTCAATTCTGCATCCGGTGTATCAGTTTAGATTGATACGTGCTGGTAGGAGATGCGTTAAGTCACGAAGAAGGCTTGTAGTGTGACCTAACATGAATTTATTTCCAGGTAAGGAGACATTGCAAATCATGAAGAGGGCTTGTAATATAACGCACTTGAAAATGGAAGTAATGATTTTCTATATGTTAACTTAAATAGAAAAGGAACATTGATCCTTTGTTCCTCAATATGAAATTACTGATAAAAACACAAAAAGTTGTTAGTGAAAGCAACTTTTGATTCTGTTAAGGTTTTAACTGGGAATCTCCAGAACGCAACCAGGTCAGCAGGGAGTTGTCGATTCGTCGTAGGATACACACAGTCGTCAGCTATTAAGGTTATAAGAACGGTCTAATGTTGGATCTGAGATGATTATGAATCAATTGTAGTGGACGAAAACAATTGCAGCCCCATTGAAAGTTTAGCGCCATTTGACGTAGGGACTATGAAATATCTCCTTTAGAAGTTGACCGCAAGGTTCGCTTTGTTAGTCATCTCATGTTCTCGTTCAGTAATACCAGCAAAAGGATTATTTAAGTTCCATTGAGATGTGTTTATATGTGGCTTTGCCCCTTATCCGTTAGGAACTGGAGCGACGGTTCGAGTTTTTTTACGTAGTAATTTATATTTAAACCCACGCGATATGAATAAACTACGATGGACAAGTTCCAGTACGCACTTGGTGCATTGCGAAAAGATAATGTTTTTATGTGCGTCTAATTCGGGTTGAGAGGGCGATATGTGAGTGTGTTTGCATCAGGGTCGTCATTCCACTGCACCACTTCGAACACTTTTCGGTGTGTGGACGACCGAACGTCGCGGCCGAGTAGTTGGCACTCCTGGTTCGTATTCGGGAGGACCGGGGTTCAGATCTCCGCCTGGAGATCGTGGTAGTGTTTTAATGGGTTTCGTTAGTTCAGCTAGGGAAATTCCAGGATAGTACATTAAATTAGGCCACGGCCGCATCCTTCGTGAGAATTTTTAGACCTGGTTAACAAATTAATCTTACTAATTTTCTTAAGACTTTTTTTAAAGATAAGTAAGCTTCAATGTAATCATTGTCTAAAGTTCGCTGTATTGTTATCGGCAAGAGTTTGTTTTAATGTTAAAGTTGTTTTATTGGTGGACAAGCAAACATATTTCATAACGTGTTTTGCTGTATCTAAACAACTGCTGATAATGTGGCATCATGGGGCATAATAGTCTTGACAGGTGCCAAAATATGATAAGAGCTCTGACACTTGTATCCATGAACTGTAACCTCTTGCAAGTTAAATATACGGTGAATGAACAAGTTTCAGACTGACCTAAGGAGAAACACATGTAGAATTGAATGCACATTTAAATGTAATACAAAATTAAACTTACAGAATGGTTTAAGCAAAAGTGGTGACCTCTCCGGTCGTTGAAGAAGCATGAAGAAATTTTCTTCACAGTTTGTGTATGGTATTAGCTTGAACTCGGGGGAGTACTGGTTCGAATCCCATTTGTTTGTGTATTCCTTTAATGGTATTGAACTGATTTACCACACAAATAACTCTGCCTAGTATTTAATACAAAGAGAAATAGTAGGAAATATTGCCCCATTAATAAAAACTGCAGAAGAGAGTAAACAAAGAGAGACGTTATTTGAACAGGCGTTCTTAAAATAACGATTTCAGCATCTGCTGTAAAGCTGTTTTGGAAGTTCTTCCTAAGAAATAAAGATTGTCTCAATTGCCTTTTTGTATTGATTACAACAAAGTTTGCAAATACTGCTATAGTTAGCGTTGCATTTTAAATGGGACTTTTTTGCCAATGAAATTACTGTTGGGTTTAAATGGAATTTTATTGATGAGTAAGAACTATAAAAAAAATGATTTTATCATGCTTGTTTCTTTCTTTTTTCTTCTTCTTTTCAGCATTTCTTAATGTGTTTATTATGTAACATGTGAGGAATAATATCTGACTATGTTTTGTAAGGAACTTCAACATTAAATTGGTATTTGCACTAAATTAATGCAAGGTTAATGAGATACACAAAATCATAAGCACGTTAGAAAATATTTACTCCAAACCATTGCTTCCACTTTTTCTCATACTTGATAGTAGTGGGCATTGTCAAATTTGCATTCATTTTGTCATCTTATCTTAATGACGACAGACTTAATGATGCATCAGTTATGTTAAAACATTGTGTGTCTGAAGTGCCAGTTATCCATGATGAAAGGAATCCTTTTTTCCACTTTATCACCGAGAAACTATGGGCCTGGTTTCATATAATTGTGGTTAAATTTAGATTCTTCTCTTCACTACCACGTTCAGCACAGTTCTGAGACTCTTCAGTCCTTTTTTATGGAACTTCACGTTTACCTTCCATCCCATGTGAAGGGTACAATATCGTTACTGTGATTTTTCCATTTTTTACAGATTATGTGAAGATCCGCTATGTATTTGCCGTACTCGGTTTCATACTTATGGCTATCGTGTATGGGCTGAAGGTAAACCTGAGTGTAGCCATTGTTGGCATGAGGAACCATACTGCAGAGAAATCTGGCCCAATAAATATAACACAATCTGATTGCCCTAGTGATGTGCAAGATGACACAGCTAGTAAGGTAAGTTTCCTTAAAAATTAGTCACAGTAAAGTTTTTTTGAAATATAGCATATACCAGAGATATTTACAAAACTGTTTTGTTAGAGAACGGGTTCTGTAAATCAGAGGTAAACAAGTTTTTGGGATGTGGATAAAATATTTTATGCCCAACATACGTCAGTATCATTTCAACTGTCACATTGTGCGAGATAAAATAAAGCAACCGTAATGTAATAAACATTGTTCACAACATGGAAATAACGTATAATATATAAGTCGTACAAAATCCTTTCATTCAAAAGTTACATTTCCTGTGTTTGTCTGATTGCTATTCAGCCATAACTGTTTTAATGCCCATTGTTGTTTTGCAGCTATTTAGTGCATCAAACAATCACTATACCATGGTGATAAAAATAGAATGTCAGTTAATGGGAACATTGTTAAATACGCAGTTTAATTATTTCAGTACAGTTTATTTTTAAAAAATAGTAGTGATGAAAGGCACTGTTGCTAGTTATGGTCAGAGTTGTGTTAGACTTCACTTCAAGTTCTGTAGACCATTGATACTCAAATATTCACAATTAGTTTGCATGGTTACATAACATTTTTTTCTATCATTTTTTCATCTATTCTAAACCTTCCAAAACTCAGTTACACTTATAAATAACCTAAATGCATTTGTGCTGTTTATTCTTAAACAGTGTCTTTACAAGCTTAATTTAGAGGTCTTGTCAGTCCGTCATGTTTCATTACAGAAATTACCTGTCAGACTTCTGTGGCATTTGGTGTCTTTCTGCACTGAACTTTGTTGATGAAATTTAATTTTGTCCCATTCATTTAATTAAACATTACATAACCTTGGCTATTTATATGACATATTCTGGGAATAAGCAACCTTTACTAATTCTGAAGGATACAACATGAGATATGAACAAACCTAAATTCACAACTGAGATCACCCCAATCAGTTGGACTATATTAATTCAAATGCTAAAAATATAACAATGGGGGGAGTGTTGTAATCATGATGTGGGTTGCTGGCATGACCCCAAGCAGATCACATAAACAGATTGACATCACATGTTTACTTCATGTGTATATCAAGTGTTTCTTTAAGTTTCAATTCCAGGCATTCTTGACACATTTATCTAACATCACAAACAAATCTTATGATAAGTCATGTCCACGTATTTGTTAATGTGGGCAAGTAAGGATTTCTGAGCATAAATATTGATGTAGGTCTGCTTATTGATTTTAGTTGTTCAAACTCTTTATCATCTAATATTTTGTTACTGCTGTTTTATTTTATTTTTTTATTTATTTGATGTTCTTTATAGTAAATATAATAATCCATAGTATGTCCCCCTCCCCACAAAGTGCATAACATGAACAAATACTGGGGTGCCTTTTCATTACTGCAAGGCGCATTGGCTATTCATATCTATTAAATGCATCCAAATTGATATCAGTTGCGAACGTGTTGGTGATGCACATGCTCAGATCATGGGTTATTACATAATCATTCTACTCCATGGTTTCAATCAGTTGTCACATTGGCATTATTAACCACATGAAGTTATAAAGCCTTGAGTTTGGAGCAGTCATTTGTGAAATAATATCCATTCCAAATTTCTTGAAAATCCTTACAACACTGTCTACTTATTAAATGCGTGTAGATGGATATCATAGGTTAGCTTAGCCTAGCATAGTCTAGCTTTGCTTAACTTTGCTGGTAGGTGAGCATCCTGTTTTGATTTCTTCAACTAAATTCCATTCTTACTATCACAATATTATGCCTGTCACTTACAGTAATTTATTCTATACTTATATTCTGTGTGCCCCACACACGCGCACACCTCTCTTCCAGTTCCGTTTTCATCATCTTACAGTAAGCGAGCTAGAACTTCTCAATTTTATTTCAGGATGGTCCTTTTGAGTGGGGTGAAGAAGTAAACGGTGTCATCTTAAGCTCTTACTTCTTTGGTTACTTGGTGAGCCAGGTACCTGGTGGGCGTGCAGCAGAAGTATTCAGTGCAAAATGGATCCTGTTTGCTTCAGTAGCTCTCAACATCATTCCCACACTTCTCACTCCTCCAGCTGTAATGATACATTGGTCGGTTCTGGTTGCAATGAGAATAATTGAAGGAGTTGGTGGTGTAAGTAAAACCTCATATTTCTCTGTTCAGTCATTCCTCCTTTATATATATATTTGACAAGTGTTTTAACTTATACTGAATGCATTTACATAGTACGAGGCGCGTCCTCAAAGTAAGTTTCCCACTCGTCCCACAGCTAGCAAACCTTATATTGCGCGAAGCGACTGTGCGTACGTGATAGAGCAATGACGTAGCATGGCGCATGCACTAACGG